ATCCATCCTTATCCAAAAGCCATCCGAACTCGTGTCCTAAATTTCTCTACCCTCTCTGAGAATTCCTTAAACCCCTAATCCCTAAACCCTCCATTACTATCCTGCTCTATGGGACCCTTACTTTCGTCTTATTCCCCCCTCTTGGATGTCTGATCATGGGATGTCCTGTCCATCCGCAGTTATCTGCTGTTGGTGAATCCTTCCTGGGGTTGAGTTGTGCCACTCTTTCCAGCAGATGCAGTCTTCTCGTAACTCTGCAATCTTGCCGTTTATCAACCAGTTCTTGTTGAAGGTCCTTCTGACCTTATTTCGTTGTTCCTCGTCCTCCGACCATGACGGCTTGGTCTTCCTCCATCTGCAGAGCATTTCGGCTTGTATCATCGTTTTCGTCTCCACCCAAACTTTCTCGCGTGGGTTGGATAGTCCTTCAATCGTTCTGCTGCATCTTTCTTTCCATATGACCCATAATGTGACCTTTCTGACGAGTCCAAACCAGATTTTTTCCACCTTCCGGAGCTGTTGAGGGATGTTAGTCAAGAGGAGAAATTGGATGGGATGTTCGGGGAAGGGGGTTGGGAATAGGGAGTTCCAGAGTGCCGATGCTCTTGCCCAGTAGTCTGTCGCCTCTATGCAATGTACTAGGCAGTGAACTATGTCCTGTACTGTCCCTTCATTACAAACCACTCACAAGTCCGAGCTGTTGGGATCTGAACTCTTACGCCTTGTGTGTAGCCATTGGTTCACTGGTCATGCCGCGTAGGCGATTAGCCATTGTAAGCTTCTGATTTTGATTGGCCTGATGAGCTTGAACTTTTTCCATTGGATCCGTGTGAGATTGTCTGCCTCTTGGCCCAGTAGATTGTGCCATCTTTTTTTAATGATAGGGTCGGGGTCTTTGGTTTTCAGTGACAGTTTGTATCCTAATTTAACTGTATAGTCTTGAATTGGGGTTTTGGATTTGATGTCCTTAGTCTTGTCCGACATCCATGCCCATTCAGCTGGGTCAAACTCCAGGTTGTGGATTGCTGTGTCTGGTCTAAAGATTGACTTGGGTCAAGAGCCAAGGACCCTTATCTTCCTGAGTAGGAAGGAGTCCAAGACTACCGACAGTCCAAGACTACTGACTCCACATTGTTATTCAGGATAGTCGGTGTACTGGTAGCAGTTGTGGAGATTGGGAAGAAGAGGAAGGTGGCCTTGGTGTGTGAATCTCGTTGCATGTGGGAAAATTGGAAAGCTCTCGAGGGAATCATTTCTTGTATCTTAAGTCCCCATTCTCCGGGTTTCCATGGGGCGCCTTCCGTCAAGATATCTTTCCATTCCTGTGGAATGAGGCTGACAATGTACCGGAGATTGGGTCCTCGCTTGTGGCATCCTTTCAGTTGGGAACTAATTTCTTGTTTTGTCTTCCATTCTTTTCTGTCCTCGTTCCATATGTGGGCGACTTTCCACATGCCATTTTTGACCCATGAGAGCCACCTGTGTTCCAAGAAAAGGGGGTTATCGCCCTCATTTGTCACCAATTGATTTCCGAAGAGCGGTTGCCTTAGTACTTCATTCTTAGATCTAGGTCTGTTGGACTTGTTAGGGATTATTTTTCTCCAGATTCGAAGAAGCGACGTCCAGTATGGAGTATCAGGCCTATGGCTTTCTAGACTGGCGTCCCTGGTTCGATTCTTTCTGCCCGTGGCTATGGTCCAATCTTTATTCATTACCCTGAACAGTCCTGACATATCCTCTGGTGAGGGCACCGGGGCTAGTGATCTGATACTATCCAAGGCTAGTTTATGCCATGCGCTGTCTGGGTTCGTCGGAAGCTTGATAATCCATTTAATCTGCAGGGCTTTAGTTTCTGTTCCGGGGTCTATAATCCCTAGACCTCCCTTTAGCGGGCTCCCCGTGACATAGTGCCATGCGACTTTAGATATGCTGTTCTCTTTGTTGGGGTCTCTTGACCATAGGTATAGCCTGGCTTTTCGGTTCAGTTCTTTGATGGAATTATCCGGTATAGTCCAGATGGAGGCTAAGTACCACATCATTGAGAAGACCGAAGTATTAAGGACCAGGGCTCGTCCAATGAGGGACGTGAAGGCATTGCCCCATCTTCCTAATTTGTTGATTTGTTTAGTCAGCATGTTCTGGCCCATTTGGGGCGCTAGCCTTTCTCTTGTCATGAGTACACCAAGGTACCGGGTGGGGGTGTCTGGCGTCTCCCAGATCATAGCTGCTTCCTCTCCTTGTAATTGTAGGGGGTCCTCATCTGATAGCCACCGTCCTATTGTCTTCCCCCAATTGATCTTCATTTCTGAGGCCAATCTGAAGGCTTCCATTGCTTTAGCCAAGGTTCTGAACGACGAGTCGGTAGCTCTCATCAAACTGTTTCTGAATAACTGGGGTAGAGATTTTGGTCTACCTACGTCGATAGTAAGTGATAGGGATGTAAGGTTTACCAGCGAACTGTGGCAGGCGACAGCTGAGCAGATGGGTACCAAGCTGCAAATGACGTCAGGGAATCACCCTGAGTCAAATGGCCAGGCAGAACAGATGAACCGGGTAGAACAACACCTGCTTCAGCATTATATTAAGCCAAGTCAGGATGACTGGGACGAGAAGTTACCTCTCAGGATGACTGGTATGACTCCCAACCAGCTGCACCTTGGTTGGAAGCCCAAAACTGCACTGGCCTTTCTGCTACCAGAAAGGCAACCCACTGCGGCACCTGGCAGCATAGAGTTTGCTGTCAATTATGAACAGATGCTGCAGCAGGCCGTCAAACATATTAGGAAATCTCAGGATGCTACGATCGCATCTGAGAATAAACATAGACGGCCCTCTAACTTTCAGGTAGGTGATAGAGTCTGGGTAAAGTCATCTGAACTAGGTCAGGAGTTACGGATTTCAGGTAAACTGATGCCACAATACTTTGGGCCCTGGGAGATCTTAGACATTGTAGGGGATCAACCAAATGGGCCTTCATACGTGATTCACATTCCTGCACACTTGCGTACTTACCCTGTTTTCCATGCATCCAAGTTGGCACCTTTCGCTGCCACAGATCAGTTTCCCTCCAGGAGATCAATGCTGCCCTCAACCATGGATGGACACGTGGACATTGACGATATCATCGAGCACAAGCTGATGCCTGTGCCCAAACCTCCAGGAAGGGGACGGCCGCCAAAGCCACAGATGCAATACCGAGTTCGGTTCACACATCACATTGATCCTCAAGAAGACCGGTGGTTCACAAGAGAGGAATTAATGAAGACTGCTCCCCAAATTATCTCAAGTTATGAGAGAAAGTTGAAAGGGAAGCAGCCGGTTACATAAGGACTTCTCAGAGGACTATCGAAGAAAAGGAGGAGGGAATGCGAGGATCTGGGTCCTCGGCAGGCCTAAGGGGCCCCTGCTGCAAATGTGCCCACCCTAAGTGAAGGCGGGCCTAACAAATCATGAGAGGCCCTAAGGTGTCCAATTCCTATTTGGGGTCCAGGCAGTTTCGTCGCGCCAGTTGGTTGAGGAAACACAGGCCGCAAGGAAATTCCACGGCCTTCTAGGCGTTTCCGAAAGTGCAGGCCCTGGGTGAGATTCACAGCCTCATACACACAGTTGGGAGGCCGAACTGAATGAGGCCCAGTAGCTGCACCAGAGGCGCAGCATCCTGGGGCCTACCAGAAGCTTCTGGGCCCAGGCCCAGACCAGTCAGGCTGTGAAGGCAGGCAGACTCTTTCCATATAGGAAAGAGCTCGTTGCCTGGGGCCTCATTCACGCACTTGCATGCCTAGCGTCAGCGCTGCTGGAGCGAGCGCTCGCAGACTGCTACAGGCGCTGAGAGGCAAGGCGTGGGCACGTGCGGTCGTGTGAAGGAGAAGGGCACTGCTGAGGGCAGCGCCATAGCCCAGCCAACATAGCTGGCAGGCTTGGACTACAGTGAGGCGCAGGGGTGGTATTTGGGTGTACAGAGGGAAGACGTGGGTGTAAGACAAGGGGGAGAGAGAAGGATGATGATGATGATGATGATGTGAGGGCACATACCTGGTATTGGCGGTGGTCTGCTACGGGCGACATCTTCAAGTACTTCGTTGGCTGCTGACGTCAACAGTTGCATTGTCAATTAGTAGGCTAGTAGTAGCTGTGTAGGGAGTAGGCTGGGCGCCGAGCGCCAAGTAGGGAGATAGGGCCTGGGGACTCGTGTTGGTGGTGGCGAGAGCAAGCTCTCATTGACATTGGTTTTCAGTGGTACGATTCTTCATTGGTGTTATATTGGTGCAATGCTACTCTCTGGACACTGTGATACTATCTGGTCTTCAATGTGATTGTGCATTCTGTCTCGCTATTGCTCATTTTCCTTGCACCGCTGTCACTCTTTTCTTAAATAGCTAATTCGAAGCTTGAGACAGAAAAGAAGAGTTAAAAAACCGGAACCCTTACAAGTTGCGAAGACAAAGTGAATGAAGCTTCTCATAACAAAATTTGCCATCCACCTTCTCCCAATTCCGCGCTAGAGTACCCATTGACGACAACTAAAGTCAACCTGGCACCGTCCTTGAAAGGTTAGGGTCTTCCCTCTGACAAACACCAGCTTAACTCTCTCAGTTCTGTAGTAAAGTTTTTTAATTCACCTTTGTGAGGCTTCTTTGGGTATATGTGCCTCCTCATTCCTCTTCTGTCATTCTTCTAAACAGTCCTTATCTCTGTCTCTATGATTTCCGTTGCTTCCCACAGGGTCTCGTCAAATGACACGATGTTCTTACTGACTGTGACTAGGGATCTTGCTTTGCAAATTACCGATGAATGAATATCTTTCATTGCTCGCTTCTCTCTCTTGCCCCCCTCTCTCTCTCTTCCCCTTTCTCTCTCTCTCCCCACTTTCTCTCTCTTCCTCTTTCTCACTCTCTCTCATTCTCTCTCTCCTCTTTTCCCCTTCTTTTTCCTTTCTTTTTTCCTCCTTTGATTCTGTGCCATTTTGAGTCTCAGTTTTGATACTTTGGTCCTTTCGACAGAGGCGGATGAGGAGCTGGAAAAAGCGCACGAAAACCTTGACAAAGTGGTGAAAGGCTGGCAACAGGACCAAGTGGTGCTTGGACAAAAACAGGCAGACTTGAAGATTGGCCTTGAGACTGCTAAAGAGAGTTATACTAAGGATTGCCAGATCAAGGGACGGCTGCAGGCAGATGCAGAGGTAGGTCTGTGCTTGATCCAAATGCAGCAAGGCCTCCCTCCTGTGCGAGGTCTCTCTTTTGTGAGTTCATTTCACCATTCACATGCTTAGGATGTGTAACAATAGAGACAATAAGACACTTACATGAGGGACTCGCAGGTGTTGCATCGATAACAGGCCCCTTGTCATCAAAGCCCGATCCCTCCATCCTACCCGTGCCGAGTTTTCCTCTGTTCTGTTCCCATTGACCTATCTTTTGGTCACTCCATCCTGCTGCTCCCCATGAGGTTGGGTCGAGAAGCTCAGATCTTAGTTTTCTTTCCAACTCAGATGTTGTGCCTCTCAAAAGGTTTTCAACTTTTCGTCTAGTCCATATATGTAGGTCTGTGTGCTAATCCTCCCATTTTGTGCATATCTTGTTCATCAGACATTGCATGAATTACAGAACCTGCACTCAAAAAAAGTAATGCTTCAAAAAGAGCATGGTTCATCAGATGAAATACACACAGAATAATTGGAGATACCACAAGCGAATCCCATATAACTTAATTGGCTACAAGTAGAATAGGCAAATAACCCGAAGGGGGAATTCACAATCTTCCAGATGGCGATTCTTCCCAAGCCATGTTGTGCGAGTTTGCACCATGTCAGTGGCTGATGTTGGCTCCTACTCTTGTCTTGTTTTTCACATCTCTGTCCTTTTCCACCTTGGAGATAACTTTCCTCCCTGTTCTCTCACGTCTTCCTCCAATCTAGTTCATCCTCTTGGAGTTTGTGATCCTTTGTTACTTGCTGCTGCTTCTATGTCCTCTTGTTGACCATTTCGGGCAATAGTGTAATGAACCCAGTCTAGTAGATACTCAGAAGTCGTCAAACACAAGTAGTCTCAGTATCTGCAACAATCTCCAAATCGTGAAGTGATAAATCAAACAATAACTCGTTACCATTAGACGAAGACAGTGGAGGGGGATCAGACAGAAGAGAAGGTGGAAAAGATCACAAAAGAGTAATCCCGTCAAACCCCTCTCCTTCTCCGGGCTTCTTCCCTCTCCACCTCACCAACCAGAAGATGATGACAAGTATAGTAGTCCTGACTACACACAGTAGTGCCACGTGGCACTCTTATCTCATGAAGACCATGAAGACACAGCAGATTCAGTGACGAGGTCAACCTCAGGTGAATACTCAATTTCCCTTACCCACAGATCCCGATCTTCCTCCTCCTCACAACCAGTCACCTCATGTACACAGTGTGGACAATGCCACATCAGCAGACGAGACAGGTGGCACATGCCACATCATCAACGTAGACCAGATGCAGTGACACATCAGCATGCCATGAAGACCAGAGGCAGCACCACATCAGCATGCCATGGAGACCAGAGGCAGCGCCACATCAGCATGCCATGAAGATCAGAGGCAGCGCCACATCAGCATGCCATGAAGACCAGAGGCAGCGCCACATCAGCATGCCATGAAGACCAGAGGCAGCGCCTCATCAGCATGCCATGTAGACCAAAGGCGGCGCCACATCAGCATGGCCTGGCACACAGAAGAAATGCCAGCATGCTGCCTCCTCCCCGTGGCGTCATCCGCAACGCCTGTGCACAGCCAGCGTATAGCCAGCGTCGCGCCAGCATGAAGCCAGCGTCTAGTCAAAGTCGAGCCAGCGTCAAAGAAGCATAGCAAGACTGAATGCTGACCACCTCGAGGCCAGTCTTTAAGTAGCATTTGGCGAGGCTCTCTGGCCTCGGGTCTCCTTCCCTCAGTCGTCCAGATTGAATCACAGCCGAAGGCCTGGATCGTACCTTATCCTGTCTGGGTACCTGCATACCAACAGGTGTGTGTGCTTGACCGACAGCCCCGACTGGGTACCTTTGGACTTTGACTGTTGGGGTCACGGCAGTTGACAAAAGTCAACTGTCTCACGTCCAGGCCCTGAATTTTCGTGTGGGGTCTTTGCCCCTGTTTTCGGCCTGGGCTGAGGGCGGCCGAGTTGGCCCTCGGTCTTTCCACGAGACATATGGCATGGGTTATTGCAATAGTGTCTGGATGCACAGAAATTGGTTAAATGAACTTAGATCAGTATTCGTTAGCTCTTCTTTGCCTCAATCTTTCAATAATATATGCAAGTCTGTGTGAATATTGTGTTCTCTTACCTGTCACTCTGTGTAAATATTATGACCATATAGTGTTCTTACTGGGCACTCTGTGTGAGTATTGTGACACTTTATTACGGTTTTGTCCGGTGCCTGTGATCTGGTGCACGCCTTCCTTTCACAGTAACAACACTTGTCTGAATATGGCCATACCCTGACTGGGATGCAGGTAAGATTATTCTTCTCTTCTGCCTTCCTGCATATGACCCCTATCATATGTTTCTGTCATGGGTCTAAACCCTGGTTACGATTTTGTCTTTCGTTTTTGTTTTTGTTTTCAAAAGAGGGTGACGGCCATGAACTGACTGGCCCCAGGTAATTCAGAATTATCTTTTTCTGTCCATCTGGTTGTATCCGGATTCGAAGTTGGGTCTGTATTTCACCTGAGCTAGGCCCGGTGGTAACATGGTTATGATCTAAGACATCGGGACAGCAACTTTGTCTCTGGAAAACTGTTTTTGAAACATGGCTGTGCCGGCAACCGGCTGGTTGGACCCCCAGTGGTCCAACCGTAATTCCAGTTGGGCCCAAAAGTGGGTCAATATTTATATTAGTTTGTAGTGATGTGACAATATATTGAAAACATGGTTGGACTGTGCTCACCGAGATCTCCCCAAATCCGCAAAGAAAACTTTGAACAGAGAAGTTTCATTTGGCGGGTTGGGGGGTTGGGGGGGGTATTTCAGGGGTTGAGGGTTGGGGGTTGGGGGTTTATGGTGAGGGTGTTAGTGGTGGGGTTTCAGCAAGCACGGGCTGCAGCAGATATTGACAACAACGTACCTGGCTTTCTGCAAACGTTAACCTTCCGCCCAAAACTTTGAAGGTGTTAGTGGCAGGGTAGGGACGGTAGTTCCCACGCGAGAACTTTGGAAAGGGGGGTGGGGGTTATAGTGTTAGGGGGTGCTTGTCACTGCTGTGTGGTCCAAGTTGCCCTCGATAATGGTAGGGTGATGGTCCTGAGTGCTGGTCACACTGGGGTGTTAGTGGCAGGGTAGGGACGGTACCCAAAAACTTTGAAAA